TTATGAAGCAGAAAACTGGGAATTAATTATTTGAATTACAACAGAATTCTCTATAAGTACTTTAAATGGCAAATGTGGTTACAAACTTTATGGCCATACATTTCAATCACTTTCCAGGAGTATATCCCTTTTGTAAAGATAGGTCCACTTTTACTTGATTGACTCACTGTTCTTCCTTAATTGCAGAATTAAAAATCACTGACAAATAAGGCATAGCTGGAAGGGACTTTAGAAACGAGCTGTACATCTGAGCATCACCCCATATTTGACAAAGTCTCAGTAACTACTAAGAGAATGGAAAGCAAAGAAAGGAAAGAGGAAGGGAATAGGAGGCTTTCCAGGAATCTGCCCCCATTCCTCATCTTATCTGGAGAAACTTGGCTTTTATCTGTTTTATATTTAGATTTTTAATTTCTGGGTAAGATTTAATTTGCAAAAAAAGTTTCACTGCCCACTAGGCCCTCCTTCCCTGCCCAGAAAAGGGTTGAAAACCAACTCTCTTAGTTTTCAGATGAAAAACTGGAACCAAAAGAGGTGAAGCTATAGTCACTATTAAGTCTTGGCTAAAGCATCTTCACGACAGGCTATAAATCGTGCCATATCTATCAGTTGTATGTTGTTTACCTGGTCATATATTCAGCAGACACTGACTAGAAAAATGTCATTTTTTTCAACTATGTGGAGATAGATCTTGTAGAATGAATTTTTTTTTTTAATGCCACTTTTCCCCAAGGCTAGCCTTTTGCAAAACTGTAAAGGCGATAAAGGTTGCCATTGGTATTCTTTAGTTCTCTCTCTCCCTACCCACACTTTCTTAGTTCCCAGTGTTCTATTTTGGCGTCCAAATTGCAGGAATTCAGTACCTTCAACTACCCAGTAAGTTTCATCCTCATTCAGATTGCTACTGACAATGTTAGACTTCCTGAACTCTATGCTCCTGGAAAACATTGTTGATTAAGAAATTCCTCCAAACTTTTTCTGTTTCCTGAAGTTCTCCCACCATTTTGTATTCTTGAAAATGGCTTACTGAAAAAAAATTCCCAAACCAAAAAACAATCACATACAAAACACTCTTCCCTATATTTCTGAGGCTCTCTTTCCATTCTTTCACACAACTCCCATATGACGTGACTATAACTTCACCTGAGACAAGACCAGACACAGTCCTTTCCCCTGTTGTCTTAACCTGCTGAAAACCAGATACAGACCCTTCAATTGCTCATTCTTTGTCTCATAAATAGTTAGCTGATGTTAGGATTGATTTCCCGAAACTAGTTAGACACAGAGATAAACATTTCCTGTTCAGCTAACTGAGACTTCCTCTATTGCACTGTATTCCCACCTGTAAGTCAGCCCACTTATAACCTTATCCACCCCTAGCTATAAAAGACTAAAGTAAAACCTCTCTATTGCAATAGCCTGAATAAAATCAATTTCTTCACTTGTTCAGTTTTTGTCTCTGACACTTCCTTATGGAAAACCTCTTCAGAAATGTATATATTTAGTTTGTGTTATATTATTACAATAACAGATGAAAAATTATGAAATGTGGAACCAGGAATTCTGTTCTAATCTCAGTTTTCTCTGTGTAATTTTGGCCTTTCTGGACTTCATTTTCTTCATCTCTAAATAAGGATATTAGGTTTGATAGTCTTTAAAATTTTAACATTCTATATTTTTTGATAAATTACATGGTATTTTAAAATTTTATTTGTTGACATTACCTGACTGGCCTAGGAGTAAATTTTTTATTTGTTCATATTCCCTGCTGTGTTGAAAGCAGTTGTTACATAATATTCACTGGTTAATTGGAAAGAGAGATGACTAATTTGCAAGCTTCTTAGGTAGTTAGGGACTGTTTTGGTACAAGGCTTTCAATTCTATAAGTATTTACTGAACATTGACAAAGTGACAACTTAAGCTTTTCTGGTAGATTCCATCATGTGGTTGTGATTTATGCCTTTGCTTTGAAATTCTAGACTTTCTTAAAATTTTTACCATACTAAACGTCTATAATCAAATATTCTCTTTTCCTTCATTTGGATAACTAAGCAGTGAGAAAATGATTCTATCTTCTAATGAGAAGCAGATACATATAACGGCTGTTAATGGGAAACCAACTGCAGTAGAATTTGATCTTATAAAAAAGTGCCATTCTTCTCATCCATCATCTGATGATGGTGGTGATAATAATTTTAAAATAACAGATATTGAATTGATAAGTAAAGAGAGATCTATCTTTAAAAAAAGAAAACATTTAAATCCCAAGAAGGCCATCAATCACAGAAAAGTTGACACTAGTTTGAAAGTAGGATCTGCAGCACCTAGCAGAATGTTGACAAAATTAAAAAAAAAAAACAAAGCAATTTTCCAGTGTTTTATTTATTATTACCCAATAATAAATACTGCTAAATTAAACTATGTGGCAGAACTGTGCTATAGGCTTTGCAGCCATTGTCTCATTTACTTCTCACTATAACCATCCGAGACAGGTACTATTATTCACCCTTATGTCACAGATAAGGACACAGGCTTAGCAAGGTTGTAACAAATATATGAAGTTGGGGAACCAATAAATGACACAGTTAGTATTCAAAACCAGGTATGTTTGACTCCAGAGTCCAGGTTCTTAACCACAGTGCTATCATGCCCAATCTTCTAAGAGAGTAAAGAAAGCAATGTACAAAGAACAATCTGGCTGTCAGTTTCATATTTTAGTGTATAAGGCATCAAGGGAAGTTTCTAGAACTGTATTTATGAGATGTGTGCTATATAGAAAATCATAAAATGGTACAGCTGACTGTTTGAAAATTTCCTTGTACTATATTACATCTTCTGCAAGGTTTGGCTTAGTACATATGGCATTATGAAAGAGGAGCTATGTTTTTACTTGGTAAGTAATATGCAGTAAAGACCTAATATAGCAGAACCATGATGTGCAGTTAAGGTTTTGTTCAGGCTTCCATAAAAAAGTCAGTTTAAGTTAAGAACTTGGTATATGAGGCATCAACCCATAATGATTTTTCTTAATAAAGTATTAAATTGAAATCGGTTTGCTCTGTTTGTTGTTATAATTGAGCAGAAACTTAAAACATTTTTCATTTATGAAACTTGTCACAACACGTTAAAATATAGATGAATAGAATTTCTCTAAAATCTATCATGAAAGGATTCTGGGGCTTTGCTTTCATTGCGTAAAAAGTTTTTTTGTGGTCTTTATAGATACTTCATGTGTGAATTTCAGTACAGTGTAGAAGAGACTAGACCCTGGGATCAGACCACCAAACTTCTTCCTCTGTGACCTTGGGTAAGTTACTTAACTTTTATGTACCTCTGTTTCTCATTTGGAAATTGACAACCAAAATACTACCTTCATAATGTAATCCATATAAAGTATCTGAAAAAATTCTTGGCACATGGTAATTGTTTAATAAATTTTAGTCATCTTCATTAAACTTTTTTATGGAAAGTAATCATAGGAGATCTGAATTAGAATATAAAATTAAATATACTCTGATGACAATTATGTGATGAACTTCTGTTGTCTCACATGTTTTATTTCCCTCAGACAAATAATTATACTTTTCAGTGTGAATGGCAAGAAACTCTAGGAAGATAATACAAATTGATGGCTCTTGTTCCTTCAGATATAAAAGAATAAAATACTCTTTCTTTCCACCAAGTAAGAAAGAGAGAAAAAGTAGGTAAAAAAGATAAGAATAAAAAATTTGAGAGGAGAGGTAGCAGAGCCCTTTTCTCTGCTACCTTTGAATCCTGTAGTCCCCTCAGCTTCTTCCAGAAGTAACAATAAAACTGCTAGGAAAGCTTAGTCTAGGCTAGAAATAAGTATTTCAAACGAGGACATAAAGGAAACTGCATCATCAATTGGAAACAAGAACAACCATAATATTTTCCTGAACCCTAAGCATTCATTTTTACTGAAGCTTTGATTACTTTCAAAAGCAAAGTTACTTTTTCAAAAGCAAACAAAAACAAAACAAAACCCATAAACAACCCCCAAAAGAAATTAAAAGCACTAGTGAAAAGTAGTAACCCAAATGACTACTGTATAAAGCAAAATGATATCATATTTGCAACTAATGAACCAAAATAAAACTGTTTTATTACCCATATAAAATTGTAAGCTTTTTGGGGGTAAGGCTTGGGTCATTCATTCATTTATTTGTTTACTTTTGATCTGAAATTACCCAGGATAGTGCTGGTTATGCATTTTGTTCTCAATTTCTACTTTACCATTTGGCTTTCTGAAACGTTATATAGCTTGATTCCTTCTGTACTGAATCCTTTTTAAGGAAAAATCATAATAAAAACTTCTAGCTATTTTCAATGCTTGTACATTAAGGCTAAGATCATTCAATGTGAATAAGATGTTGGGAGTGCTGTTACTGTGACATTTATTGTAAATATGTCAGTTAGTTCAAGCTTGTGTTGGTTAAATTTAACAATTCAGGACTCAAAGTGATTTTTTTTTCTTTCCCCCAAGTAGGAAGAACTTATGTTCCCTTTCTAGAAAAAAATTCATATTATTTAACTTTGACATAAGCATTCACCTTTACATTAAGCAGAAAAGGCTTTTTCTTATTATGAACGGAAGAAATTTCCATAAACCCTTTGTAAAATGTTACATATAAATGCTGGGCTTGGACACAGAGAACTTAATCAAAATCCCACGTTGCTTCAGGGTAGTTAAATGCAAAATGCAATTTCCATTGTATTGAAGCCTCCATTCTGTAAATATTTATCTATTTTCAAAATTGCCAATATATTTGAAAAGTTTAATTGGTTTATATTCAGGGCACTGGAGAAAAGGAAAATTTGCTTTCAGCAGACATTTACATGTATTTATGCTGTCCACGTAGAGTACTTCTCTCAAGTGATCATGAAATATAATATGAAGTGAAACCATCCCAGATATGGTCCTAATTACCAAATTAGAAGAAAAGTAATCAATAGTCAATCAATCATTTTGATCACTGTACCTTTTTTCTCTGATTTATCGGAAACTTTTCCTCCAATTGGAGAGTAAGTAGTATCCATGGCCTCGGTCCCTCTGTTCCCTTTGCTAACTCCATTTGCATAGAGCTCTCCTTCAACTGGTTGCAACTGCCATGTCAGGCCGAACAAATGTACTGCTGCAAGAAAACAAGCCATACATTAACTTATTCCAGGCTCATTGAGAAGGTCTCCAAACCAGCTATCCCTCTGCACCTAAAAATGCGTTGGAGTTCAAAAAGATGCCTTGGATTTCAAGTGCCTTGCAGTTCAGGAAGAACTTAAAATTTGGCTTATCCTTTAAGCCAACAATTCAATTTCGATGAATTAACGATAAATGTTACCAAACTATAAGACTATCCATTGTAATATTTGAAAATAATATTAGAAAGTTATGATCAATATAAATATTCATCAAGAGGGGGTTAATCAAATAATTGTTGGGAAAGTAAATATCATGTTGCAGGAGACCATACATGGAAAATATTCATGATGCATCAAATAAAAAATATGAGGCTACTATCAGTATGAATAGTATGATCTGAAGTGTGTGTGTGTGTGTGTGTGTGTGTGTGTGTGTGTGTGTGTGTGTGTCTGTGTGTGTTTATGTTTGGAGAGAAAAGGGTCTGGAAGGATATATAGCAACATGTTAACAGTATGAGTAGCTTCTGGAGAATTTTCCTTTTTTATGATTTTTGTATTTCCATTTTTTTTACAATGCATATGTGTGATGTTTATTATCTGGGAAAAAAGAAGCTTTTGTTTTAAAAGCAATGATTTAAAGAAAGAGTAGATTAAAACTGGTTGGGCTGATCAAAAATAATTTTATGAAGGAAGTAGTATTGGAGATGGAGTTTGAAGGATGTGTAGGGCTTTGATGGGTGACAGCAATGAGTGAGGAGAGGAGGCAGGTTAAACAAAATATGCTTTTGTAAAGTACAGGATGTGTCTCAGGCAAAGGAAGTTGCTAGGGACCCCAGTAGGGGTATATATGTAGGTGGTAATGGAAGTTAAGGCCAGAAAGGTAGATTAGAGTTGTATTGTGGAGGACACTGGATGCCACACTTAGATATTTGGATTCTATTTGTTAGACAACAGAGAGGCATTTCTATTTTCTGAGTAGGAGACTGATATGATCAGTTTTCTTTAAGAAGATGAATTAGATAGCAATGAGGGCGTATTGAAGGGTTTTTGATGAATAAATGATGTAATCAGAACATATTTCATAGAAAGATAAATCCAGTAGTAGTGGGGAGAAGGATGGATTGGAAGTCTAAAGGTTTGACAAATAAACTGATTGGTATGGCATTGCAATAATCTAGGCGAGAAGTAATTAGTGCCTCAAATAGAGTGGCGTTATGGGAGTGTCTCAATTATTTGCAGTGGGAATGCAAAAAAGGAGATTCCTTAATTAGAAATTGCATAAATGGCACCTTAGGATTTGGCAACAATCAATCTCTCTCTCTCTCTCTCTCTCTCTCTCTCTCTCTGTGTGTGTGTGTGTGTGTGTGTGTGTGTGTGTGAGAGAGAGAGAGAGAGAGAGAGAGAGAGAGAGAGAGAGGGAGAGAGAGAGAGATGCTGGAGGAGAGCATAGAAAAAAGTGAGGGAAAGGAGGGAGGACTATAAAATGACTGAAGTTTTGAGCCTGAGTATTGAAAAAATGGTAGAACCATTAATAGAGTTAGGAAATTCTTCACTTAGCCCAGCACTTGCTACAAGATGTTTATGCTGAATATGTGTTTTACTAAATGATGACTATTTGAATGTGTGGTACCAGGCAAGGTGAGAAGATGGGAGGATTGCATTTCATTCAGCTTTAGGAATGCTGAGTTCCAAGGATTGATGGTCCATCCAGATAGTGATGTTAACCACAGGAGGTTTGAAGTTAGAGGAATATTAGGGCTAGAACAAGACAGTAAAGTTATATATGCACAGAGGCAACAGCTGAAGTTGTGAGAGTAAATGAGGTCACTGAAGGGAGAGCATGTTAAGAGAGAACAGTGCCTAGGGCAGAAACTGGAGAAAACTCTTATTTGTTTTCTCATTGCATTTTCAACATCAACCAAATCCCACTAAAAGAAAAAAAAGAAGTGAATCTACTCATAAGCCATTTCATATTTCTTCTTTGTGTTCTTAGGCAGACCAAAAGAGGCTAATTAGTATGTGTAACACTCATAGGTAGTATTTGAATTAGTGACTAAGAACAGAGTAGCTGGCCAGATAGCCTATTTGAAAATCCTTCATCCACTTTTAGTTGGCGCTAAAGAGATTTCTAACACCCACTTTCTAATTTATCCTTAAAACGTTTAAGCATTTAATTGGTTTCTACCCTTTTCTTTGGATTAAAGCCAGTGATGCCTGATGAATTTCTCTTGCAATTATTGGAAACAATTCCAACTCAAAGGATAGTGGTTCTGAGTAAGGTACGGTATGGCACACTAATAAAGCTATATTAGTGACATAGCTGAGATTTTCTTACCAAAGGACTTTAAGTTTGGTTTAACATACTTGTTCCAATTAAAAGTGTTTTTTTTCAGGTTTTCAGAAAATTTAGTCTATTCTTCCCCCTAAATAATTTGATTATGATGGATAGTAGAAACTATATTGAAAATGTGTTTCATTTCCTTGGTTCAATTGCTTTTGTGAAATTAGATGGATCATATGTAACAAAAGGCATAGTAGTTCTCATTTTAAAGACCACAGGGGCTATGTAATATACTTTATTTAAGTTAAGCCAGTTTCCTGAGGGCACTAAAATGAGAGAAAACGCATGTGGTGAGATTCACTTCAAAATATATAAGGTAGGAATTAATTTTTCACCATCAAATGAAATGGACTCCTTCCAGCTAATCAAGACAGATAAAGAAGTAGGGACACATTTAGCAGAATACTTTTGAGAGCAGTGAAGCTTTATAACTTCTTCAATCTACTATATCTTTTTTAGGAACCAAGCTGCTTGTAATGCACAGTTTCATGAATATATAAAGAGTTAATTGCTTGCTATAGACATGACAAGGCTACTGTCCTTTTCTTTGCTCTAAACTGAACTTCCATATGCTGACTTATGAAAGTAAGCCCCCAAATATATTTATGTATAAGGTACACTGTGATAACTAAACAATTCAATGTTCAAGTTTCATTGGAAATAAACAATATTTTGTTCATACTAAGACCACTGTATAAAATTATGTTGACCTTTGGGGTATACCAGTACACTGCTAGAAAAATATGATAGAACTTCACTTATGGGAATGTATTTATTGATATAGTCAACAAACATTTTCAAAGCGTGTGCCAGGCACACTAGGACTGTTGTGAATATAAGCAGAATTTATATTAAAGATGTTTAACAGCCAGGACAGCATAGGTACTGACCAATGAAAATAGGTATCAGATGTACGCAGCCAATATAGTCCAAGCAGTATACACTGGCTGCATGCCAGCATTGAACAGAGGAAGAAGATACAGCATTCTTAAATTTCTAGTGGATATCCATTCAGATCTATGCTATGTGTTTAGAGCCACACTCTTTAGGAGAGTACCCCAAACCCAATATCGGCATTATGAACCAAATAGCTAGAATTATGATATAATTGATAATGAACAAGGCAATGCTAAGTTATATTCATATATTGATTCAACAATTTTTTGAGTGCCTACTTTATGCCAAACTCAATCAAGTACTGTTTTTCTAAGTTTATAGCAGTGAAAAAACCAGAAAAAAGTCTCCACCCTCCCAGAATTTATATGAGAGGGTGGTGGATTAAGAAAAACAAAGAAAAAATATATGATGTAATATAAAATAGAATATAACTGTTATAAAAAATAAATAAACATGATAATGTCAGGTAGTTATAAGTACCATAAAGAAAAAAATAGGTAATTGTGGTCAGAGAAGGCATATAGGAGGAGGTGATATCTGAACCAATATCAAAATGAAGTGAAGCCATTATGAATAGCTGGTGGAAAAGCATTCCAGGTAGAGGAACAAAAGTGGAGTGTTTGAGGAAAACTAAAGAACTCAGTGTGGCTCAATCAAAAATGCAAAGAGTGGTAGGAAACTCATACACAGAAGAATTGGACCCGTAATCTTATCTCAGTGCTCTAATCAACTTTACAAGCCAGTCACCAATAAATAAGACGAGAATAGAAAGTAATAAAACTAAAATATCACATACCAGAATATATATCTTTAAGTGAGCACTGCTGGTAGTAGATATAAATACTGATCCCAAGCAAGGTCAAAGGTACTGTTTCTCTTTAGACATGTGTAAAAATATACATATTCAATTAGTTGAGATGAATATTACCCAGATTTCTCAGGGAATACCAATCCTGTTATTTGCATTTCACTGAAATTCAATGGTTGGACAGACTGTGTATGCCTATTCAGATATTCCAGGAGTAATGTCTTTTCAGTTGATTAAGAATGGCAGTCTCTAATGCTCTTTTAACAAATGTTCCCTGGAGATGAGTATTGTACATTTTATAATTATTACCCTTCTTGTTTTATCCAACTGCAAGGAGCTGTGCTCTGAACTTATAAATTCATTACAAAGTTAAGGTAACAAATAGATTATCTTGTTGTCCCCAGTTGCCAAACTCAATCAAGCACCTTGAATCTCAAGACCGGCTGACTCTATGAGCAGAAGTTTTTCTTAACTTGCACATTTCTATAGAAACCTCCAAGTCTCTCTCTAGAGTTATCTCTTTGCAATTTGTCAGAATGTTGGACTTAGTTTCTCTTAAATAAGACTGGTGGTCTCTATCAACATTTATAATCAATTAAACTTCCCCATTCCACTCCCCTTCAAGAGGCAAATATGCACTTACAAAAAAGAGTTCAGAAGTTAATGTGGGAAATACATGCTGAATGACTTAGGCCTGTGTTGTTCATTATGGTAACTACTCATCATATGTGCTTATTGTGCATTTGAAACGTGGTTAATCAGAGTCAAAGACTTAGTATAAAAGACAGAATGCAAAATTGCACATGAATAATTTTTACATTGATTACACACTGAAATTATAATATTTGTGATATATAAGATTAAGTAAAAATCATATTTAAATTAAGTTCATTTGTTTCTTTTTACTTTTTAATATGACTATGGTATTTTAAGTTACATACGTGGTTTCC